TGTGAAGAACATTTTAATAATCTAAAGAACCTTTTTCCACTGTAAAGAACCTTTTGTGGAATGAAAAGGTTCCATGGGTGGGTGTGGAACCATTGATGCCAAAAAAGAACCTTTATTTTTAAGAGAGCAGTTTTTAAAAGATCCCTGTTTTGTGAAGTATGAAGAACTTTTTTCCACAAAAAATAACCTTTTGTGGAATTAAACAATTCGACGGATGTTAAAGGTTCTTCATGGAACCATCGATGCCAATAAAGTACCTTTATTTTTAGAGCTATTTACCACCATTTAGAAAATTTAGAACCATTTAGAAAAACATGGTTCTTCTAAGAACCAACCACTGAAAGTTGCTTTGAGGAACCAAAAATTATTCCTCTTAGAGAAACTTTTTAAAGCTTTATTTTTTAATGGTGTAAATTATGTTAATATCTTCTCACAGTTCCTCCTGAGGTTTCTGATCAAAGTCCGATTCAACTGGTGTTAAAACCTGAGAACGTGACAGACTCAATGACAACAATTTTTGGCATCAAACAAGCACATGCTTTGTATTTTAAAGGCTGCATGAAGATTTTACTCTTTAATATATATCTCAGTCATTTAAATCTTAAATGGTTAAGATACGTGTCACTAAATTTATACTTGCCTTAAGTCATTTTGACGGGAATACATCTTAAAAAGCCTTGTAGATTCAAGCCCCTCGTAGACAATTTTACACACACACACACACACACACACACACATAGATATCTATATATCCATATAAATATAATAACTAACAAAATATATAAATCTACCTGCCAATGTTGGTACTATTAAAATATTGATATTAAGGTAACACTTTATAATAAGCTCCCATTAGTTTAGCATTAACTAACAATGAGAAATACATTTGTTGTTATATTTATTCATCTTTGTTGATGTTGGTTAATAAAAATACAACTGTTCATTGTTAGTTCATGTTAGCTCATGTGTATTAAATAATATTAACAGATACAAACTTTGATCAATTAGTAAATGTTGAAATGACATGTTTTAAAAGTGTTTTCATTGTTAGTTCATGTTAACTAATGCAGTTAAATAATGTTAAAAAATTAAACCTTATTGTAAAGTGTCACCATATTACAACAGATTTGATCAAATAATAGGATTTCATGCATAATAATGTATAAAAGGAATTAATATAGCTAGTTAGAATAGTTGATATTTATATTGTAGAAATTATTATCAGAAAGTTTAAATGTTAACTTTATCCAGACTGAACTTCAGATTTAGTAATACAATTATTTTATGGATACAATTGCATCTGATCTCATGCTACAATCTAAATAAAGGTTCTGTATTGGCATTGATGGTCCAATCAAGAGCCTTTAACTTCCATGGAACCTTTCTATTCAACAAAAAGGTTCTTTATAATGGAAAAAGGTTCTTTAGATTATTAAAATGTTCTTCACACTAAAAAAAGAGGTTGTTTAAAAGAACTGTTCGCTTTGGAGAACCCCAAATAGTTTTTCTATAACTGTGAAAACTCCTTTTTGTCACATTAACCAGCAGCCTAAAGACAAAGTACAGTGGTGGCCAAAATGATTAGAACACTAGTATTTTGACCAGTTATGACTTAAAACCATTTTTTTAGCTAGTGGAAATACTAGTGTTCTAATCATTTTGGCCACCACTGTAAATATGTTTAAATTCAAAGGCATCAAACATCCAGATCACATTCATGTGTACAATCGATCACATTTCTTTTTCTAAGGAAGAGAAATAACTTTTCAGATGATGGCTGTGCGAGTGGAGAATGTTGTATGTTAGAGTAGCCTCTGGTCTCCACTTGACAACAAAATTGTTCTGTATTGCATTTTAAGAAAAGCGTAGACGTTTCTGGTGCAAAAGATGTCAACAGACGCAGACCATTATATCATTCCATGGATTTAGGCTCGCGTGAAGGGTTTCTTTACAAATACTCAGAATTACTCGAAACCTTTGAACCAAAAGGTCATCAAGTTGATGTCGAGTTATTTTCAAGACAATTAAACATATTTTTAAAGGGGTCATATGATGCGATTTCAATTATTCCTTTCTCTTTGGAGTGTTACAAGCTCTTGGTGCATAAAGAAGATCTGTAAAGTTGCAAAGACTAAAGTCTCAAATCCAAAGAGATATTCTTTATAAAATTAAGAGTTAACCACGCCTACCTAAAACGGCTCGTTCTAACACGCCCCCACATGTCTACCTCACTATGTGGGAGGATTTGCATAACGCCGCCCAAATGTTCACGCAAAGAAAGAAGGCGTAACTTTTATTCTCGCTGTAGTATTGTTGCTGCCGCCATGTCGTGAAGGCACTGTGTGATTCGTTGTGAAAGCGAAACTACTTTGTTTGGTCTTCCAAAAGATGACGATATCGCTTCGTCATGCCTGGAGCTGATCCGTGCTGGTCGCTGAGGAAATACTTCAACTTTCACCGTGGACGAAGCGGAGTCCAGGATCGTCACATGTGGTTGCCGCAGGCATCACAGTATGGTAAGGGACGTAACATTTCCGTCACACGCTTGAGGAATTCGGCCAATCACAACGCACTGGATAGCTGGCCAATCAGAGCACACCTCGCTTTTCAGACTGATGAGCTTTGTAAAAATCGACGCTTTTCAGAAAGGCGGGGTATAGAGGAGAAACAATAATGTACATTATGTGGAAAATAATGTGTTTTGTGAACCTTAAACCGCATAAACACATTTCATTACACCAAATACACAAAATAATGTTCTTTTTAGCAGCATCATATGACCCCTTTAACCCAATAGTTGTTAGAACGGTTTAAAAAATTAAATTTGCTTTGCTTTTAAACAGCATTATGTAACTTTTTCTGTGTTCAAAATTTGCAAAATGTATATAATGAGCGAGTACATCATGAATTCATCTTCCAAACCGTGTTTTTGTCTTATTCCGAATCACTACGGTACACTTATAATAAGTACTTATATTTGGACTATTGTAGCCTGATCGGGTCGTCACCGCTGCGGAGGAACACATACCTGCGTGAATCGCCATAGACATAAACTTAGAGAAGTAGCTCTGGTTAGAATGTTCTTCCGCGGGATGTGTGCAGTTCTGTTTATTAACTGCTAGAGCGCCAAACGTTGCATAGTGCCTGCTTTAAAGTGCCCCTATTATGGGTAATGAAAGGTTCATATTTTGGTTTTGGGAGTCTCCAACAACAGATGTCTACCTGTTGCAAGGTCAAAAAACACTTTCATTGTCTTATAATATGCATTTATTTTTACCTTACTTGCTCAACGACTCCCAAACAATTCGCTCAACGATTAATTTTTCCAAACCCATTCTTTTCATGACGCTAATCTGCGGTGATTGGTCCGATTGGTCTCATTTTCATTTCATCATGCCTGTAATGCCTGATAATACTATTGGATAAAGCAGCGTTTGTGAGCGCAGTGCTGCTTTGTGTACAGCATTACCGGGGAAACCGCTATTTTTACCACTCCTAAAGCGGCACCTAGTGGCACAGAATGAATTAGCATTTTCATTCAGACTAATGCGAAAAGACCAAGAAGTGGGCGGGGAATATGCTAATGTTTCATGTTGACGTCAACATGAAACGGCTTGGGATTCGTTTTAAAAACGACTCGTTTCAATGATTCAGAGTCGACTCTTTCTTTTGAGAGACAATAACTTTATACACGGAGCACTTTCAGATTTAAAACTTTGCAGGATGTTTTCATTGACTTCGAGCTGTGTTACACACTGCATGAAAGGTAATTTTCAAAAATCCATAATAGGGGCACATTCATTTATATGCTTATTTGTCATGAAAATGTTACAATTCAGAAAATCTGGTCTTCTTGATATAATATAATATCTTCTGTTTTTGGGATGAAATATGACTGGACATGAGTTCATCAGATTCATCTAATACATCATAAATAGTAAGCTGATATTTGCTTCAGTGGCGTTTGTGTCGCTGCATTCATAAGATGGTGACGGGGCCAGAAGGGCCGGCAGGTGGGTGTCGCTCTTCTTACTCAGCAAGACTGTTTTTGGGACAAACTGCAGCCTCACGAGGCAGAACACAGAAAGCAGTTTATTCAAATACATTTCAGAGCAAGAACCTGGAGAACAATTACAGTATTTTTACAGTATTACATGAAATAATTACAGTATTTCATGATGACTAATCGTGTTTTAAATGTATTTTAAATGATGAATATTCTTGTATTATAAATTATATCTACTGATAAATATTGTATTTATACATAATGGCAGTATTTGTTGTACTGCCTTTTTGTGGTGATTTAAAATATATATATTTTTTTTATTTAATCAGTTACTCATTTATTACCATTTTTCATGATGATTAATCATGTTTTCTAAATTACATATGCAAATAAATATAGCATTTTTACATAATGTTAGTATTTGTTTTAATGCCTTTTTTTGTGTTGACAAAACATTACAGTATTTTTTATTTGTTTAGTTATTCAAATATTATTGTATTTTATAATTGTTTATCATGTTTTCTAAATTATATATACAAATAGCATTTTTACATAATGGTAGTTTTACCGTACTGCCTTTTTATGTTGGTTTAAAAGTATTACAGTATTTTTTATTTATCTATTTATTTATTATTGACATTTTCATGATTATGTTTTCTAAATGATATCTACTAATAAATATAGTATTTATACATAATGGTAGTATTTATTGTACTGCCCTTTTTGTGTTGATTTAAAAAATATTAAAGTATTTTACTTAGTTGTTCCATTATTACCATATTTTCAGGATGATTAACCGTGTTTTTCTAAATTACATATGCAAATAAATATAGCATTTTTACATAATGGTAGTATTTGTTTTAATGCCTTTTTTTGTGTTGACAAAACATTACAGTATTTTTTATTTGTTTAGTTATTCAATTATTATTGTATTTTATAATTGTTTATCATGTTTTCTAAATTATATATACAAATAGCATTTTTACATAATGGTAGTTTTACCGTACTGCCTTTTTGTGTTGGTTTAAAAGTATTACAGTATTTTTTATTTATCTATTTATTTATTATTGACATTTTCATGATTATGTTTTCTAAATGATATCTACTAATAAATATAGTATTTATACATAATGGTAGTATTTATTGTACTGCCCTTTTTGTGTTGATTTAAAAAATATTAAAGTATTTTACTTAGTTGTTCCATTATTACCATATTTTCAGGATGATTAACCGTGTTTTTCTAAATTATATCTACAAATAAATATAGTAGTCTAAAAAAACAGACGCTAGGTGAGGAAGGCTTGTTTGTCATGTCATGATGGTGCTGTTGTGTTTTGCAGTTGCTGGCCAACATTGTGATCTACTTCTGTGCCATCACCGTGGGCGTCATGTCGTATTACATGGCCGACCGCAAACACCGCAAGGCCTTTCTGGAGGCCCGGCAGTCGCTGGAGGTGAAGCTCAACATGGAGGAGCAAAGTCAGCAGCAGGTGAGAGAGACAACCAGACCAAACCAACATGAGCGTGTGGAATTTCAAGCTGGCCAATCAGTTCCTTCACTAGAGATGCAAGGTCTCGAGACACGTTTTTTAAAAGCGGAACTTTTAGCTTGAGCGTAGCATTTTTAGAACTCAGTGTCATGCAAAAGACTCGAGAGCAGTAGAAAAACTAGAAAAGTGGAATTCATAAACCTTTTCTGTGCGTTACCAACACATTGATGATAACTAGTGAACTCTGTGAATTAAACATGCAGTGTAGTGAGGTCGTGGGACAACAGTGCTGCATGCTAGTGTTTGAAACGTTGCATAATGTGTACTATTTCACATGCTGTTTCTTAAAGTAGAAGGCATCATACAGTATACTGAAACATTCACTGTGTTCAGAATACAGTAAAGGCCGTTTCACACTGAGCACGATGCGAAAAAGCGAGGCGAATCTCCGACGAACTTTTCACACCGAGCGCGAAGCGCTGTAGGTAGTGTTCAATTTCCAACATAGCTAGTCAATATTTTTTGCAGTTCCGACTGATGCCACTAGTGGTGCAGAAATCACATACACACTTCACCTTTGAATAATACATACATATGTACATACATGAGAAACATCAGAACTGCTAGAAAATAACAAGTAACACATTAAATTAAACAAAGACTGAATAATGTAAATAGTGTAAAACTTTCGCCAAAAATCTTTTTTTATTAGATTTTTTTTACGTTGTTTACTGTCTTTTACAGTCTGGTCTTAAGATGCAGTCAGTGAATTGTGAATTTTGAATAAGTGAATTGTGCAGGTTGTTTGTCAGTTGTGCAGGGATGTATTATGCATCTTCTAATCAAGCAGCTTTCTGTTGATCAACGTGGCGAATTGTGACTAACTTGTACCCGATGTGAAATCAGCTTAAGGAAATCTTTCTCCCTCGTGTGAAAATATTTTATGGTGGTGAAACTTCGCAGTACAACATATGGTCACATTTACCGCTGTTCTGCGAATCTCAAAAGTTCATTTATTTCAGTAATTCAACTCAAATTGTGAAATTTGTGTATTAAATAAATTCAATGCACACAGACTGAAGTAGTTTAAGTCTTTGGTTCTTTTAATTGTGATGATTTTGGCTCACATTTAACAAAAACCCACCAATTCACTATCTCAACAAATTAGAATATGGTGACATGCCAATCAGCTAATCAACTCAAAACACCTGCAAAGGTTTCCTGAGCCTTCAAAATGGTCTCTCAGTTTGGTTCACTAGGCTACACAATCATGGGGAAGACTGCAGATCTGACAGTTGTCCAGAAGACAATCATTGACACCCTTCACAAGGAGGGTAAGCCACAAACATTCATTGCCAAAGAAGCTGGCTGTTCACAGAGTGCTGTATCCAAGCATGTTAAGAAAACGCTAGGCGCACCGCTTTCTCCTTCTTTCCAAAGCACTCTGTAGCCTGCGCTCTATGCTTGCGCTCCCGAGGCGTCTGCCGTTGCTAAGCAACTATGACCTGCGCTCTCCATGAAGACGCGGGAGTTTCAGCAAAGGATAAATGGATTTGCAGCACTAAAAACCCCTTGCAGTAGCTCTGCTACTAAATTTTTTTTTTTTTTAAATGGCTATCCTTGTACAGCTATGATCAGCTGTTTCTCCGTCTTGGCTTAGCTTTCAATTTTGTTTCGGGAAAGGATGAAGCTGATTGGTTGATTCTTGTCACATGACCCGCGGTGCGCTTGCTGTGTTTTGAAAAGTTTAGATGTTTCTAATTTAATTTTCTACCTGTTAGATTGTGTTTTACTAACGTCTACATATATTATATAAACAAAAACTTTTATTTTGGATGCGATTAATCGCGATTAATCGTTGCCCAGCACTAATGAAAATTTAATAACTCGTTTCAGCTTTTGACAATTGCTTGGTTTGTTTGTCCGTGACATCATACCTTGTAGCCCCGCCCACCGTGAAATCTTATTGGCCTAAAATCCCGCCCTACAAAACTGTTTATCAAACATCTGGGATATTTTGATTGGTTGAGACTGTGTGAGACTTCATTTTCTGTTTTTGTGAGGACAGAAAATGCTTCTGGAGTTGATTTGTGTCTGTGTGAAAGATTCAGCAGTCAGTGTGACAATTACAGAGCGAACTGCAAGTTGAGAAGAGAGATAAGGTGTGTGTGTGTGTGTGTGTGTGTGTGTGTGAGAGAGAGAGCAAAACAGGCCGATAAGAAGCATATGAGGAGAAACTCCCTGAATACTAATGGAGGAGCAGTGGCTGCTGGGAGACGGGGTCCGCCAGCCAATCAAGGAGCATCCGGCTACGGCAGATTACCATGGCGACCAGCCTCCTGAGACGATGTCAGCTGTAATCACACTAGCGACTCCCTCCTCTTGATCCTTCTCAACCTTTATCTTCTTTTATTGTCAGACTCTCGGGTGAATACACTGACCTGATGTTCACGCGTGTGTGTGTGTGTGTGTGGGAGTGCTAGAATGTGCCGGAGGAGAGAGTGTGTGTGTGTGTGTGTGTGTGTGTGTGTGCTTGTCGTGTCAGAGTGGCATCACGTCGATGGCGCACCGGTCAAAGTGGAGCCGCTTGATGTGTTCACGTGTGAAATGTGTTTGGGCCTGAAAGGGCCTGCTGTGTTAACAGGTCGCCATCTGGAGCATCAGTTAATGATTAGTGCCATCGATGCGTCAGGGAACATATTTGACCAATACATTTGCATATATTTGTGCATTTTTTCCCCAAGAGGTTCATTTGTATTTCCGTCTCTTTGAGCGAGTGCATGATAGTCAGTGTCTGTTAGCTGAGAGGTCATACCAAAAGCTGACTAAAACTTTTAGCATAGATAGAAATCAAAGTTTGTTAAGATTTCTCATATTCTCACCAAGGCTGCATTTATTTGATCAAAAATACAGTAAAAACTGTAAAAATGTGAAATATTATTACAATTTAAAATAGCTGTTTTCTGTTTGAATATATCTGTTAAACTGTAATTTATTTCTGTGATGCGCAGCTGTATTTCCAGCATCATTACTCCAGTCTTCAGTGTCACATGATCTTCAGAAATCAGTATAATATGATGATTTGCTGCTCAAGAAACAATGATTATTATCAATGTTGAAAACAGTTGTGCTGCTTCATATTTTTGTGGAAATCGTGATTCAGTATCATATTTGATTTAGGATTCTCTGATGAAAGTTCAGAAAGAACAGCATTTATTTGAAATAAAAATCTTGTTGTGACATTGTAAGTGTCTTTACTGTCATTTATGACCAATTTAATGTTTTTTATCTTAAAAATGTTTTTTTTTATCCTTTTTTCAATTGCTTTCAGTTTTTTTAGAATATCTTTTTTAAATTGTTTTGTTCATTGTCTTTACAGAATTAATCAAAATTATTTTTGTCCGGATTTTTTTTTTTTTTTTTTTTTTAGAACTTTCAAAAAATATTTTCTGTTCAGTTTTTTTTATTTTTTATTTATATATATAACATTTTTGGAAATGATTGTCTGTTCAGTTTTTTTATTTTTAGATTTGTTAAAAATTATTGTCTGTTCCATTTATTTCCTTGTTTTATAGAATTTACAAATATTTTCTGTATAGGTTTTTCTTTTTAGTATTTATAAAAAATATTTTCTGTGTGGTTTTTTTCTTTATAGAATTTTTAGAAATAATTGTCTGTTCAGTTTTTTTATTTTTCGAATTTGTAAAAATTATTTTCTGGTCCTTTTTATTTTTCTTGTTTTGTAGAATAAAAAAAATATTTTCTGTTCAGTTTTTAGTTTTTTTATATTCTCTATTCAGTTTATGTATATATATATATATATATGTATAAATGATATACATATAAAAAGCCTAGTGTTGTCAAATGATTAATCGCGATTAATCGCATCCAAAATAAGTTTTTTTTTTTAATAATATATGTATGTGTACTGTGTTTATTTATTATGTACATATAAATACACACACATACAGTATATATTTTGAAAATATTTACATACATTTATATATTTATATTATTATTATTATGTAAAAACTTTTATTTTGGATGCGATTAATCGCAATTAATCGTTTGACAACTCTAAAAAACAATCATTTTTACAAATCCTGTTTGGACCAGATATACATGGTGTATATCTGTTATTTTTCTGTTATTGTTGTTTTAATTTCTTGTATTTTTCTTGGAATTAAACACGATAAAAAAATGAAATGAAATGCAATGCATTGCATTTCTTTTTTCTTGGAATTAAACATGATTAAAAATGGAATTAAACACAGTAAAATTGGTTTAAAATTTGTGTTCATTTAAGAGTATTGTGTTTTCATATTAGTAGCAGAATTGTGTGAATATATCCATAAATTCTGCAGATGCAGATAGTAATAAATAAAAAATAAAGTGACGTGTGGCGACCCATACTTGGAATTAGTGCTCTGCATTTACCCATCCTAAGTGCACACACACAGCAGTGAACACACACACACACACACACACACACACCGTGAACACACACCCGGAGCAGTGGGCAGCCATTTATGCTGCGGCGCCCGGGGAGCAGTTGGGGGTTCAGTGCCTTGCTCAAGGGCACCTCAGTCGTGGTATTGAAGGTGGGAGAGAGTGCTGTACATTCACTCCCCCCACCTACAATCCCTGCCGGTACGAGACTTGAGCCCGCAACCTTTGGGTTACGAGTCCGACTCTCTAACCATTAGGCCACGACTTCCCCAAATGGGGAATATGGGTGAGTATATGGGTGTATAAGGAACGTTTGAGTATATGGGTGTATAATCAACGTTTGTTCTTCTGCACACAGGAGCGTCTCCTGCTGTCCATCTTACCCAAGCACATTGCAGACGAGATGCTTCAGGACATGAAGAAAGAAGCCAGTCAGAAAGAGATGCAGCAGTTTAACACCATGTACATGTATCGGCACGAGAACGTCAGGTCAGTGTGTTACGATTACCAGCAGTGTTTCAGTAAACGAGGGCAAAGCTTGATGTCGTCGTTTGATGATTGTTTGACGTTGACTGTGTTTGTGTTGCAGTATTCTGTTCGCAGACATCGTGGGCTTCACTCAGCTGTCCTCGTTCTGTAGCGCGCAAGAGCTGGTGAAGCTGCTGAACGAATTGTTTGCCCGTTTCGACAAGCTAGCAGCTGTGAGTTACTGATATCTGTATGCAAGCTTTATTTAACACGCGTTTAGTCATATTTATAAGATGAAAATATTTTTGGTGACTAATGATCTTAAGCTATTCATATAGAGTGCAACAGTGGAACTTGAAGTAAAAATCACATTAATTTTCTCCATTTTTTACTACAGTGTATGGATCAGCATGATTTCAGCTTCTTTCCAATTTCCAGCCTCGCTCCGTTCCCACGGCTCTCGGCCCCGCCCCTCTCGTCACACAATTATTTAAACGGCAACTTGAGCGATCACTTGCATTTTTTCATGATAACAGTGAAAAGAACTTCAAATGTTTCATCATTTTTGATCATGCGGATAAGAGTACTGCATCATTCGAAACTGTAAAACGTTTACTTTTATTTGTATGTACACGCAATATCAACAAAACTTTGTGATTTTGTAAAATAAAGAAAACAGATAGGGTGCGCTTTCAGCAGTCAGTCTTCGCGAATGAACGAAAACTGAATGACACACAGACATGAGAAATATATCTAAAGAAAGCTTGAAGTGTCTATTTTTACATTAAGTAAGTCATGCCGAAAACAAATATTCTCTGATAAAATAATCCACCACGAGATACAGTCTTTCCCGCCTGAGCTCATCTATAATGTGGTCACACTCATGCGCATTGCGCTATATATGATAATCATCCACGTGAGATGCGCGAACATATAAACGAACACATCACCTCTGTAAACAAAGCGTTAAGATTAATCAAGTTCATCTAGGCTACTTGAGGAATGTAGCGTAATATATAGAGTAATGTTTTCCTCGCGGTGTGAGGAGTAAGCCTTGTATTTACCTCAGAAGAAGAAGAATGCGATGTGACGCTCGGCTTAATCCAGCGGAGGATCTCATTCTGATGAGTCATTTATTTTTATTTAAGCTATTTATTAGTGTTATTGTGACATAAACTTTTGTTTGTTTTGCAGTGTATAAAAGACATTTAGCACACAGTACCTAGGTTTTGCTTTTTTTTTAAAAAACCAGCTTTTCCAAATCAAACATTGTAATGTTTTGACTGTTCTTGGATCTGGTTGGTCTGGTTACTTTATAATTTGTTCATATAGACTTTTTCAATTCCCTTTGAAGAACAAATAAAGTAAGTGAAGAAAAAATTAAGTATTCCCAAAACCAAGGTGGCTGAAAAAGTGGACGCACATTGTTGCTCTCAACTGATGCTCAATTAATTACTGGTGAAGTCTGAAGCTGACTAAGATGCTCTACTTTCAGAAATACCACCAGTTGAGGATCAAGATTCTGGGCGACTGCTATTACTGTATTTGTGGCCTTCCAGATTACCGTGATGACCATGCGGCCTGCTCCATCATGATGGGTTTGGCCATGGTTGAGGCCATTTCGTGAGTGATGCATGCTGAACTGTTCAGGAGTGTTCATGGGAATTAGTGATTGCTTCATGACAATGACTTTTAAATAGCTCGAGTTAGGCGTGCTTGAGTATGACGAGGTCTGACACATTCATCTGGATTTCAGATACGTTCGAGAGAAGACGCAGACGGACGTGGACATGCGTGTCGGGGTGCATTCTGGGACGGTTTTGGGCGGCGTGCTCGGACAGAAGCGCTGGCAGTATGACGTGTGGTCGACTGACGTGACGGTGGCTAACAAGATGGAGGCAGGAGGAATACCAGGGTAAAAACCTGCACATTCACCAGAGATAAAGGGTTTAGATTGGTTCTGAATGCTAGGGGAAATTCAGTAGACGTTCACTAGCTATCCATTTGAATGTGAATGCCTTCTGAGATGCAGTAAATGTGTCTGGATGTTCAGGTCATATATAAACTTCACTCCTCCCTAAATGAACTACGCCTGAATACAGGAGCGCTGCAGTCATGGATGAGACTCTTGGACGGAAACATCTGGATATATGTTTTGATTATTAGACTCTTATCTGTCATAATCATTAGTAAGACTCAATTAGAATGAGACGCACACTTAATTGCTTAATTGTACTGAATATCCACTTGTAGTGAACTTAAGATCTTAAACGTATTTTTTTAACTGTACTTGTAGATAATATAATATTAAAGAAATTAGTACACTTAAGTGTACTTTTCATGACTAGAATTCTTAACACACTTAACCCTCATAATGCATTCAAAATTTGTATATTATTTTCACATTTTGGGTCATAATAGTTTTTCAACTAAAACCATTTTGTATGTGATCAACATCTTCTGATTAATGAGTGATTGTGAAACAAGATTTACTTTTTTAATTAAAGATGCCAGCATACATTTTTAATGAATTTGTAATTAAAGCATACCAGAAAATCTATTGATGCAACTATTAAAACCATATTGTATCTGATCAACATCATCTAATTAATGAGTGATTGTGAAACATTTGCTTTTTTAATTAAAGATACCAGAATACATTTTTAATGATTTTTTAAAATTAAAGCATACCAGAAAATCGATTGATGCAACTATTAATAAAAAAATGATAATAATAATAATATGTATATACTGTATATATATATATATAGATAGATAGATAGACAGATAGAAATATATATTTATAAATCAATCATTGTATGAAATTTATCAGAACATATAATCTGAGAATTACCAATATTAACCCTTTTGGAATAAAAATTAAATTAAATTCCTTTGAATTTATAACTCATGATTGCTCAAAAACAGCCCAAATTTATGAAACCTACATACGTATTTCTAACAAAGCAACATCAAAACAACATAAATATTACTCTATAATATATTTATAATACTCTATAATATGTAATAAGTTTTCAAACCAAAGAAATTTATTTTACTTGCATAAACTTTCACATTCAGATGAAAAAAGTGATAAATTTTTCATGCTGCAGTGGTTCGTCAACAGCTATACAAATTCATGTTTATAAAAAGATGCAACATTTTTAAAAATGATGCATCTTAAAAAATAATAGAAAAAATTTAATTCCCTTACTGAAAACTATTTTTCTTTTTTTGTTTGTTTTTGACTAGCATACTAAAGCACATGCAAAGTACTTGATTATAATTAGAGTGTTATTTGATATTACGTTTAAGGTTAATATGTTGTAGATGTACTAAATTACAACTTCTTTACAAATGTGCAATTGCAAACATTTAAATACATGACATATACGTTTCACTTTAACCATATTTCAATAGACAATAGAAGTAATTATGAGATTACATATAAAGATGCACTTAAGTCCTACTTAAGTGAGTCAAAAAAAGTTCAGCTATGGATCCTAAAACCGGTTAAAGGGGTCATATGATGCGATTTCAAATCTTCCTTTCTCTTTGGAGTGTTACAAGCTCTTGGTGCATAAAGAAGATCTGTAAAGTTGCAAAGACTAAAGTCTCAAATCCAAAGAGATATTCTTTATAAAAGTTAAGAGTTAACCACGCCTACCTAAAACGGCTCGTTCTAACACGCCCCCCACATGTCTATGTCACGATGTGGGAAGATTTGCATAACGCCGCCCAAATGTTCACACAAAGAAAGAAGGCGTAACTTTTATTCTCGCTGTAGTATTGTTGCCGCGGCCATGTCGTGAAGGCGCTGTGTGTCTCGTTGTGAAAGCGAAACTACTTTGTTTGGTCTTCCAAAAGAGGACGATATCCGCTTCGTCATGCCTGGAGCTGATCTGTGCTGGTCGCTGAGGAAATACATCAACTTAGTGCTGTGGATCGCCGGATCGGCTTTCACCGTGGACGAAGCAGAGTCCAGCCCGG